GCTCTCAAGATAGCTGTTATTGTTATCATAGCATTAGGTACCTGGTTTTGGACAGAGGCAGTTTAAGGCGTTTACTATCTAATACATGGAATTGCCAAAAACCAATTTTGAATTTATGATCTAATTGAATTTGTTTTTGTTTATTTTTGCCGATTGTCATCAAGAAAAGATACAAAAGGCTTAATTTTAATACATGGGGTGATGATTATGACTTATGTATACATAGCAATATTTTCTTTCAAGCCAGTTACTTTAATATTGTACCTGCTCTACAAAGTAAGTTTTAAGAAATTCATAATATATTATTTCTACAATATATTTATATACTTTTAAATCCATAATTTTTGTATTGATAAGTATAGAACTGTAAAATGAAGCATTTTTATAGTTTATTTCATAAGACTACATCATTGAGTAGTTCCCATTCAATCTAATTAAAAGGTAATTTAAGTTATACTACCTTAAATTTTTGCACTTATTCCCTAACTCTTTAAAAATGTATATGAAACTTAATGTTCAAAAAAATAAAATCAGTAGTCTGTGGAATAAATTCATATTCAGGAAATTATTTAGACACTAGTATATTTGTAGCCTGTCTCTCTTCCCCCTCTTCTCCACTCCAACCACAAAAATAATGCTTGAATCTGTTATTTTCTATAAAAGTTGAATTTAAGTGCATTTGTTCATAGCAGATTTTTCAGTGAATTGAAGGTAGCCCTCATTACATTTTTTACTATAGTAATGCATCACTTACCAATGGGGATATGTTCTGAGAAATGGGTCGTTAGGGGATTTCCTCTTTGTGCAAACATTATAGAGTGTACTTACACAAACATAGATAGTATAGCCTACTACACACCTAGGCTATATGGTATAACCTATTGCTCCTAGGCTACAAACCTGTAGTGCATGTTAGTGTACTGAATACTGTAGGCAGTTGTAACACGTGGTAAATATTTGTGCATCTAAACATATCTAGACATCTTAGAAGAGGAAAGGTACAGTAAAAATATTGTATAAAATGTAAAATTTGTTATACCTGTACAGGGCATTTACCACAAATGGAACTTGCAGGACTGGCAGTGCTCCAGGTTATTCACCGAGTGAGTAGTGAGTGAACGTGAAGGCCCAGGGCATTGCTGTACGCTACTGTAGATTTTATAAACATTGTATACTTAGACTACACTAAATTAATTAATTATTATTATTTTTTTTGAGATGGAGTCTTGCTCTGTTGCCCAGGCTGGAGTACAGTGAGTGTAGTGGTGTGATCTCGGCTCACTGCAACCTCTGGCTTCCAGGTTCAGGTGATTCTCGTGCCTCAGCCTCCCGAGTAACTGGGATTACAGATGCACGCCACCACACCTGGCTGATTTTTATGTTTTTAGTAGAGACAGTGTTTTACCATGTTAGTTAGGCTGGTCTCATACTCCTGACCTCAGGTGATCTGCCTGCCTCGGCCTCCCAAAGCTGGGATTACAGACATGAGCCACTGCACCTGGCCAGACTACACTAAGTTTATAAAAAATTTTTTCTCGGCCGGGCGCGGTGGCTCAAGCCTGTAATCCCAGCATTTGGGAGGCCGAGACGGGTGGATCACGAGGTCAGGAGATCAAGACCATCCTGGCTAACACGGTGAAACCCCGTCTCTACTAAAAAATACAAAAAACTAGCCGGGCGCGGTGGCGGGCGCCTGTAGTCCCAGCTACTCGGGAGGCTGAGGCAGGAGAATGGCGTGAACCCGGGAGGCGGAGCTTGCAGTGAGCTGAGATCCGGCCACTGCACTCCAGCCTGGGCGACAGAGCGAGACTCCGTCTCAAAAAAAAAAAAAAAAAAAAAAAATTTTCTCCAAAAATAAATTAACCTTAGCTTACTGTAACTTTTTCACTCTCTTAACTTTATTTTTAAAAACTTTTTGATTCTTTTGAATAACTCTTAGCTCAAAACGCAAACATGTACAGCTGTGCAAAAATACTCTTTCTTTGTATCCAAATTCCATAAGCTTTTTTCGATTTTAAAAAGTTTTTGTTTTGTTTTCTTTTTTTATTTTGTTTTATTTTGTTTTGAGATGGGGTCTTGCTCTGTTGCCTAGGCTGGAGTGCAGTGGCGTGATCTAGGCTCATTGCAACTTCCGCCTCCTGTGTTCAAGCAATTCTCCTGCCTCAGCCTCTCGAGTAGCTGGAACTACAGGCACACACCACCACGACTAGCTACTTTTTTTGTTTTTGTTTTTGTTTTGTGTTTTGAGTAGAAATGGGGTTTCACCATGTTGGCCAGGCAGGTCTTGAACTACTGACCTCAGGTGATCCACCCACCTAGGCCCCCCAAAGTGCTGGGATTACAGATGTGAGCCGCCACACCTGGCCAAATATTGTTATTTTTGTCTGGTGGATTTCCAGAAACCAGAGAAGATGCATTTATAGTCTGTGTAGCTGTCATCATAACTTGGTATTTTAGTTGATTTCAAAAGTAGGGTGTTTGAGAAAAGCCAGATTAAGTAAAATGAGTGAGATTTGATTTATAATCTGACTAGCAATTTTCATAAATAGTTGTTTTGTCAATAATTTGCTATTTAAAGTGTTCAGTTGCTAGTTTACTAAATTTTACTCTGTATGTGTGTGAATCTAGAATACCATTCCTTTTTTCTAGATAATTGTTAGTGATACTATATCTGGTTTCTTCATAAGCTTTTGTTTATAATCAGAATTTTATTTTTTAACATGAGAATAAATGTGCTCTGTTATTTTAAATACTTTTAAAATGTGTTTAGCCACCTAGATGAATGATTCATAATCTTTTTATGTGGTTATTCATATGTGAGAGTTATGACTTATGGGAATTGGTAGTAGTGGCTCTTGGAAACAGTGATTTTTCAGTTTAGGAGTGAGAGGAAAGTCCCTGCATGAATCTGAAGTACTCACATCTCTTTATCTCCTTTTGCCCCAATTTTTATGATTGTTTTCTTATTGGTATACAATTCAGCAGGCTTAATTATCTGATAGAGGTTTTCTTTGCTTTAATATTAGAATTATGATGTGCTTTTGGCGTGATTTACAAATGGTGACCAAAAGTGTTTTAGAAAAATTGTGTTTTAGATTTTACTCTTTTAAAGTTAATTTTTGAAAGCAGGATTCCTAGTTGTCTGAAATGGCAAAGCTCTTAACTTTTTCATGCTAGGGAGGACTGAGCCACATTGAAGATGCTTATGCTTAACTCAGACATGAAAACTAGAGGCCTGAAGACTAATCCTTACTTTATAATTTTCATGTCTTTTAAAAGGAGGCTTGGATGCTGAGAAGCTATCAGGTGCCTTTATGGGCACCAGAGAAAGAGTCTAAGCGCTTGTAGTCAGAGTTAATATATAATTCACTGTGAAGTTAACTGACTCAAAGCAATTAGTTCATGATTTACATTCAGTTGCTAGTGATTTTTTTCTCTTTTCCTATGCGTTTTGTAGAATGCTGTATACCCATTATAGGGCTTCATTACTTTCAGGATTGGAAGCTAATTTTGTCCTAGGGAGAAATACTTGGGTTAAATCTGTAGTGTACTTGCAGTGCCAAGAGAGCATTGGTAAAACTAAAAATGAAAAAAAAAATGTAAACTTTATTTAGAAACCTCTCTGGCTGTCTTTATAAATCAACACAACAAATCCTGAAAATGTGCCCAGTGTCACAGCAATCATTATGATTGCAGAGGAAATAAATATTACTTGTTTTTTCTCTGGTATTATGGCATTGGAACAAAAAACGCATTTTGTACAACAGTTTTTGGTTAGTGTTACAAATTCAGTCAAACATTTGCTTTGAACAAAAATATATCAATAGGGTGTATCTGACTTTTATAAAATAATGTAGCAATGTGCATATTCTAGCAAGATATTTAAAATGATATTCTATCAAAATATTTGGGTGAGTTCTTTTATGTGAATTAAAGTGAAATATAAATACTATATAATGTTTCATACTTTTAACCTGGCAGAATGATAATTTTTTAAGTTTTTGTTGCTGGGTAGGTAAGTATTACTGTTTTGGGGAGAAATTTTAAAACTGTTCTCTAATAAAAATAATTTTATTTTAATTTACCAATTCTTTTATTGTATAGTTTTCTATAATAAAGCACCTCCCTGTATACACTGTTATATTTGAGTCTTATAAATCGTCCATTTAAAGTAGAATATTCCAAGTAGAAATACATTCAATTTGTTGCACTAACTACCTCTTTTGTATTTGTCTTAGTATCTTTGAATATTTGTTTAGGCGTGAGTCACACTAGCAAGAACATTAGGAACATGGCTTTAGGCATATTTTAGTGCTTTGATGGGACTTAGTTACCTGTGCTAGAAAAAGTGGGTGTTAACCTCGATGGTGTCGTGTAAGACTTGATTTGTCGTGACTAATTTTTAAAAATTTTTCCTCATTTTTCTTGCCTGCCCCCTGGTGGAGAAAAGTTAGTAAAATCAACACACAGGGTACATGAAAAGTCTGAAGGTGGGGGGAAAATGTATATAAAAAAAGTAATCATTGCTCATGCGTGTAGTCCCAGCACTTTTGGAGGCCGAGGCAGGAGGATTGTTTGAGCCCAGGAGTTTCAGCCTGGGTGACATGGCAAAAACCCTGTCTCTATTAAAAAAAAATATACAAAACATTAGCCAGATGTGGTGGGAGTGCCTATAGTCGCAACTACCTGGGAGACTGAGGTAGGAGGATCACCTGAGCTTGGGAAGTCGAGGCTGCAGTGAGCTGTGATCGTGCCACTCTACTGCAGCCTGAGTGACAAAGTGAGACCCCAGACAAACAAAAAACAAATTATCGATTAATTTAGTATATGAAAATTTAAATATATGTTATCATTTCAGGTTTTATAGTCTTAGCTTCTCAATTTTGGAGGGAACAAATGCGGGACTAAAATTGTAAGAATACATAGTTTTCTTAAAGCTATGCAAATTTGCTTTGCTGATTATGTTTCTGTGTTTCTCAAAATACCTTCTCACTTCTCAGGGTCTTACTGAAGTAACACAAAGTTTAAAAATGGAAAATGAAGAGTTTAAGAAGAGGTTCAGTGATGCTACATCCAAAGCCCTCCAGCTTGAGGAAGATATTGTGTCAGTAACACATAAAGCAATTGAAAAAGAAACTGAGTTAGACAGGTATTTCTCATGCTTTTAAAAAATAAATTCAATAAAAATTTTAAAACTTTAAAACATTATAATGTTACTTTATCATACCTATCTCAGTTTAAAGGACAAACTCAGGAAGGCACAACATGAAAGAGAACAACTTGAATGTCAGTTGAAGACAGAGAAGGATGAGAAGGAACTTTATAAGGTAATTTATTTGTTGCATATTTATTGCCTGTTACTTCAAAAGAAATGACGCCAAAGCTTAGGGGCTGTAGGTCAGCAGTTGAGGAGCAGCTTAGCTGAGTGGTTCTGGCTCTGGTCTCTTGTGTAGTTGCAGTCAGGATGTTGGCAGCGGCTTCAGTCAGCTGAAGGCTTGATTGGGACTGGAAGAGCTGCTTCTGAGATGGCTTACTCACGTGGTTTTTGACAGGAGGCCCTTCAGCTCCTCTTGAAGTGGTCTTTTCATAGGCTGCTTGAATATCCTCACAGCATGGCAGCTAGCTTCTCTCAGAGTGAGTGATCCAGGAGAGAGCAAGGAGGAAGTCACAGTCATGTTGTGTATCACCCCTAAAAGTTAGTTTTCAGGGAATTAATTTGCTTCTGTTTTAGATACTTAACAGGTAGTGTGTAATAAGTTGAAGAGGTTTAATGACATTAAGATACTTGTTTATCACAATTCATATAACTATTTTCCTTTTTAAGAACATACATATATATATACCTTGGGGAGAACATTAATTTAGGAATGATCCTGTTTTAGAGTTTGACTTTTAGAATATCTTCAGAGATGTCATTTTATAAAAATATCATCACTACTAACAAATCTTGACTGCTTGAAGTTTTAATTTTTTTTTTATTTGAGATGGAGTCTCACTCTGTCGCCTAGGCTTGAATGCAGTAGTGCGATCTCAGCCCACTGCAAGCTCCACCTCCCGGGTTCATGCCATACTCCTGCCTCAGCCTCCCGAGTAGCTGGGACTGCAGGTGCCCGCGACCACCTCCGGCTATTTTTTTTTTTTTTTTTTTAGTAGAGACAGGGTTTCACCGTGTTAGTCCGGCTGGTCTCGATCTCCTGACCTCATGATCTGCCCACCTCAGCCTCCCAAAGTGCTGGGATTACGGGTGTGAGCCACTGCACCCGGCAGTTTTTATTTTATTTTATTTTTAAGCAACCCTGAAATATAGGGTAGTTAGCTTAATTGTCACTAACTAATAATGTTGTGGGTGCAGATTGAGACTTATTTTTTTAAGTGGCTCATAAGCATTTCCTGAAGGCAATTCCAGATGAGGAATTTCAAGAACATTCTGAGTTAAGTCCGTTTCTTGTTAAGTCAGTTTAATGAGCTGATGATTATGAAAATCAGGTAGTGTTTTAAAGTGATGCTGCAAGGGTGTTGGCTGCTGATGCCTTCAGAGAATCAGGAGTTAATATTCTATCCTTTTGAACAAGAATTAGTCCTTGAGCATTCTGTACATTGAAAGAGTAAAGTTCAAGAAGTAAGTTAATTCATTTCTCCTCAGTACTCTTAACCAAAGTAAGATATACTTGATAGTGGACACCAGGGGTCTGTACTTATAATTCCAGTTATTGAATTTGATTTGTGTATCTGTTAGGAGCAAATCTGCAATAGCGAAAGTCATGGGAAAATCAACATAGTTGGGTTAGTCAACAAATACATTTTTCGGCACATTAAAACTAAGTGATATCGTACTTTTAGCCTGCAGAAAATGGAATTGTTTGAGATGTTGTTTTTGAATGTACCCCTTCTAGTTTTCCAGAGTCTTGTCATGCCAGATTTCAATATGCCAAGTAACATAATTTGTTTCCCCAAAACAACAGCCAAATCTATTTGCATTTTTAAAGAGAACCTGAAACCATTAAATCAAAGGAAAAGACTTTAGAGATCAGGTAATGTTGTTAGGCCTTAGAATAATCTCTATGGAAAATAAAAAAGCTTAGAAAAGCTGCGTTCTGCTCCTGCATGCTTAACTAGTCATTTGGCAGAACCTGGGTCTCCTAAATCCTAGTCTAGTATGTCTTTCCTTCCTTTAATTATCTTTGGGTTAGAAATATAATGGTATTTTAAACTTTGACTGACTTAGGTCATGGAGTTAGAATGTTCTTGACATTTTCAAACACCATTACAGGTACATTTGAAGAATACAGAAATAGAAAATACCAAGCTTATGTCAGAGGTCCAGACTTTAAAAAATTTAGATGGGAATAAAGAAAGCGTGATTACTCATTTCAAAGAAGAGATTGGCAGGCTGCAGTTATGTTTGGCTGAAAAGGAAAATCTGCAAAGGACTTTCCTGCTTACAACCTCAAGTAAAGTAAGTACTTTTGCTATATGTATTTGAAGATTGTAAAACATACCTATGAAATGTATGCAATATGATTTTCATTTTTAATTCCCCCAACCTTTTGTTTTGAAAAAGTTCAAATTTACAAAACAATTGGAAGAACAGAACAGTGTATACTAATGTATGCTAAAATATTTTGCTTTTCTTTGTTTTATCTCCCCCATTTATATGCCCTTTTTTCCTGAGTGATGTGAATTGCAAGTATTATGATAATTTACTCTAAATACTTTAGCATGTCTCCTTTATGAACAAGTACATTCTTCTCCATAGTCATAACACCATTATTACACCTAAGAATTTAGCATTGATTAATAGTCATTCTTGTATATAGTTAGTTCACATTCAAATTGCCCCAAATGTATGTATAACCTTATATAACCTTTAAAATTTTGTGATTCAGACTTAAAGATTACATATTATTTTGATTGTTGTATTTTGAGTCTGTTTCAATCTAGAATAGTGTCCCTACACTTTTTATGACACTGGTATTTTTGGAGAAGACAGGCTAGTCTGAGAAAATGTTTATAATCTGGATTTGTCTGTTCTCATGACTAGATTCAGGTGAGACATTTTTGCAAGAAAAGACATAGATGATGTTTTGTCCATCCTGTTGGAGTCATATCAGAAATTATATAATGTTGATTTGTTCCATTCTTGATAATGTTAGGTTTAATAATTTGTTTAAAGTTATGCCTACCTGTCTCTGTATAGGTGCCTTTCTTTTCTTCTTTGTGATTATTAAGCAATCTGTATAAACACCCTATTCTCCAACAGCCTTTCCCCAATGGTTTTATTGTCCTTTGATGCTCCTCACCTGCAGCAGCTATTACGTTGGTAATAATTAATGATAGAAAAATGGTGATTTAAAAAATTCTCTTACTCCTTTTATGTTTATTTGTAGGTAATCTTTTATAATGAGGAAGTTCCTGTCACCCCTCCCTCTTTTTTTAATATAACTTTGTACTTACGAATTTTTTGTTGCATATTATGCATAATCATCATTATTGTTTTTCGTACCCAAATTGTTCTGAATTTAACCAGGGGAATCTTTTCAAGCCTGCTTTTTTGTCCTGATATGTTCCTGTAATGCTTTCAATACTTACTTGCTTTATGGCACAACTGTATATTCTAACTTCAGGTTGTTCCCCCAGACCTGATATTACCATTTCTCCAAGAAACTCTGGTTTTTTTAGTAGGTAATGGTATTTTGAAACCAAGAACGGGATCCTATTGCTACTATGGGGCTGCTGCTTTGCACTTTCAGTGGGTATTTTGCATCTTTATTTTATATTGGTAGCTCCAATTCAGATTTAGTACCTTAGGATTCTTCCTTCCTTTGCTCCGTTCCATATTTTTATCTGTCTTCTCCCAGTGTGAGAACTCTTGTTTCTAAAACATCGTTATTACTCATGTGTTTCCATCCAGCTGTACACACCAATGGTTTCACAATTTTTACATCAATGCCACTTCCAACAATAAATCTAATAAATAAAGCTAAGGTATTTTTACAGCTCTTTTTTCTTAGAATATGTTTCACTAAGGATGTATAGATCACCATGTTCAAAAGTTACTTGAACTATTTTTTTTTTGCATACATATGTTATAAATTTATAATATAATTTCATTTGTTTGTATTTAATTTTAATGTTTGCTTTTATTCTTCTGTTTGATTTAATTTTATTGTTTGAAATTGTGAAACAGTTGCTTTGTTCAGAAGTCAAAATGATAGAAAAATTTTACTCTGAGGTCTCAATCTTTTCCTTATTTTTTTAAACCCTTTTCTTACCTATACCCGTAGGTAAACATTTTCATAAGTTTCTAGTTTATTCTTATGTTTCTTTTTGTAAAAATAAGCTTATATATGCATGTGTACATGTACATACATACTTCTTTATCCTCTTCTTTCTTAAAAAAGATGGCACTACTATACATACCGTTTTGCATCTTTTTCTCACTGAACAAAATAAGTTGCTAGTTATTCCATATCAGTTCATAGAGATCTTCCTCATCTGAAAAAAATGGCCATATAATATTCCATTATATAGATTTCCCTTGATTGATTCATTATTTCTTATGATGTTATTTTTAGTAATTTGCTATTAAAAATACTCAGACATAGTTAATGTAATACCTAAAATGTCAGAAGTGCATGACATTTAGAATTAATGATTAATCCTTGTTACTTTTTAATGTAACAGATTGCCAATGCAAACATGAGAAGTGTATTTGATTATTTGTTATTTAATAAGAGGCTAAAAATTTCTCTAAGCATCTTTTTCCTATTTAAGCAAGACTTCTGTAAGGAAAAGCATAGTTATGGAAGTACCTGAGAAAAATGAGTACTAGTTGCTAAAGCTTTTTAAAAGATTGTAAAAGTAGTTTGAGGTTATGGTTATAAAAAAATTTAAACAGTATGCGAGGGTACAGAGTAAAATGTAACCCTCATCCCTTCTCAGATAAGTCAATATTGAATTTATGAATATATGTATATTTATATTTTAACACAAATTAGAATTTATACATTTTTTCCTTTTTTAAAAAATTTATAAATGGATATCTTGCACTATGATACACATGTGAATCTTTTTCATTCATCATAACAGCTGCCTAGTATTTCTTCTCTTCATTTAACAACTGTATAGTATATGATTGTTTAGAGTCTTCAGCTTTTATAAGCATCCTTCAGTAAACATCCTTATAGCAATATGTAGGCACATTTATAATCCGTAGAATAAATTATTTCAAGTGGAATTACTGGGTCAATGAGTATTTAAATTTTGATAGTTATTTTCAAATTACCTTTCAAAAAAATGTTCTGTTGATTTTTTTATTCCTACCAAGAGTATATGAGATATGTATTGTTCGTAATGACTGCACAGACTTTGATAATATGGGAGTAGTATATCGTAGTTTATCATAAATTCTCATATTGGTAGACATTTTAGGTTCTTAATAATTTTTCATTATTTTAGTATTTTGTTGAATCCTTGTAAAGCTAAACCTATGTCTGCCCTTTGATTATTTTCTTGGAAACTTACGGAAATAAAATTGCTAGATCAAAAGCTGTGAGAATTTTTAAGCTGCTGATGAATGTTGTAAACATCTGATGAGAAAAGATGCCAGTTACAGTTTATATAAGCCCACTTGTTTGTGAATATGCCAGTTTCCCAAAACCCATGCAAATATTGGAATGTTACTGTTTTTTAATCTTTGTTAGTTTGGAAGGTGAATGGCATTTGTTTTAACTTATTTATTTGATTGTTAGTGAGTTGGATTTTTTACTGCATAATTGCATTTATTTCTTTAAAAAATTTTGTATGTTCATGACTTTTGACTTTTTTTGTTTTGTTTCTCCTTTTCCTATTGACTAGAAAAGTTATTTATGTCAAGTATTATTATACCTTTCTTGAATATATTACATATAATTTTCTTCTAGTTCTTTTTCTTCTCTTTTGACATATAGAAGTTGGCAATATTTATATAGGTAGATCTATTAGTGTGATGCCTCCGAAGATTTTGTCCATGTCAACACTGCGTAAAATCATCATTTATATATCCTTCTAATGGGCTAACACTTTAGAAACCAATATTAGGTTGCATTTTTTTTCCTGATTTTACATTATTTTTAGTGCAGAGATTAAAAGCAGGAAGTTGAATAAACTAAATTTATTGTGTTTATAATGTTTAAATGTTATAATGTTTAAACATTAATATTAAAGGAAATAATTTCATCACAGCAATTTTAGCTTTTTAAAGATACTTTTAGGTTTGTCAAGCAGTATGCGTTACTTTTCATTTTCCCAGTGGCTCGTCTTTACTCCTTGTATATCAATATTTTGTTTTTAGAACTAAGGCCTAAATCTGTTCTGTGTTTTTATAATGATATGTGAAATAGATTAGATTAGATTTGATGTCTTTTTTTTTTTTTTTTTTTTTTTTTTGTGAGGTGGAGTCTCGCTCTGTTGCCCAGGCTGGAGTGCAGTGGCGTGATCTCCGCTCACTGCAAGCTCTGCCTCCCGGGTTCACACCATTCTCCTGCCTCAGCCTCCCGAGAAGCTGGGACTATAGGCACCCGCCACCACGCCCGGCTAATTTTTTTTGTATTTTTAGTAGAGATGGGGTTTCACTGTGTTCGCCAGGATGGTCTCGATCTCCTGACCTTGCGATCCTCCCCCCTCGGCCTCCCAAAGTGCTGGGATTACAGGCATGAGCCACCGCGCCTGGCGATGTCTTTTAGGGTAGAAAGTAGGAAACATCTTTTAACCAAAATTTTTGGTGTTACAAAGAAGCTTTTGGAATGATTTTTACGGGTAGTCATACAAAATGAGGGTCAGTATTTCTAGGAGGAGAGATTCTGGGGGATGGGATCTTTTGCTTGAACCTCAGTTTGGGCAGGTCCTTAAGCACTGGGTATGTTGCCTGACTCCCTATACTTTAGGTTCCTTGGGTATGAAGTAGTAGCAGTGAAACCAAGTACATAGGGTTGTTATAGAGAGAACCTAAAACAAAGTTACCTCTTAAGTTTTTTATAGGCATATACTCTGTAAGTCATGAGTAGAAAAATCAATATCTAAAATTTTGGCCCTGTTGAAATATGCAAAAATTGTTTCTGCTTCTGTTTTTTACTTGAGTGGTTGAATTACAAATATATTTATCTGCTTTCTTCAGGAAGATACTTTTTTTTTAAAGGAGCAACTTCGTAAGGCAGAGGAACAGGTTCAGGCCACTCGGCAAGAAGTTGTCTTTCTGGCTAAAGAACTTAGCGATGCTGTCAATGTACGAGACAGAACAATGGCAGACCTGCATACTGCGCGCTTGGAAAATGAGAAAGTGAAAAAGCAGTTAGCTGATGCAGTTGCAGAACTTAAACTGAATGCTATGAAAAAAGATCAGGTAAAGCAAGTTAATTTTGAATTTGCATTTTGATTTAAAAAACCACTATAATCTCACAAAATAGTAAATTGTGTTAAAATAAGGCAGGTCAGATATCTGATCAGAGAATGTTAAATTTTCATTCCTTTTGTTTAGTCATTGTGACTTCTTGGTTTACAGTTAATGTATGCTGTAAGAAAAACTTCTGTGAGTGAATTCTTAATGGTTGGTGAAAGCTGCCCTATTAGTTAAATATGTTGATGTCAGATATGTATTGCTTTGTTTGGAATTTCTTACTAGCTGTATAAAACAGTATTATGGTTGTTTAAGAACTTAATAATTGCTCTTCAGGAGGTAGATTATTTTTCTCTAGTTTTTTAAATGAACCTTAGTCCTAAGAATGTAAAACTGGACTTAACAAGAGACCCTGTGTTGCTCTGTAACCAAAATCCCAAAATAAAGAAAAAAGTGGCCGGAGGCAGTGGCTCACACCTATAATCTCAGCACTTTGGGGGGCTGAGGTGGGAAGATAGCTTGAGCCCAGGAGTTCAAGACCAGCTTGGGCAACGTAGTGAGACCTCATCTCTACAAAAAAATTTCAAAAATTAGCCAGGTGTGGTGGTGTGCACATGTAGTCCCAGCTAGTCAGAAGGCTGAGGCAAGAGGATTGCTTGAGCCAGGAGGTCAAGGCTGCATTGAGCCATAATTGGGCCACTGTGTTTCAGCCTGGGTGACAGAACAAGACTCTGTCTCAGAAAAAAAAAAAAAAGAAAAAAGTAAGATTGAAGTTGGGGTTACTATTAACATTAGGAGAGACCAGATTTTTATTTTTTTCTTAGAATGTTTGTTTCTTTCTAGGACAAGACTGATACACTGGAACACGAACTAAGAAGAGAAGTTGAAGATCTGAAACTCCGTCTTCAGATGGCTGCAGACCATTATAAAGAAAAGTTTAAGGAATGCCAAAGACTCCAAAAACAAATAAACAAACTTTCAGATCAATCAGTAAGTATCATTAAATTTACACATAGTAAAGTATCTTGTTAGTATTTTTATTCGAAAATCAAATTTGTAATATTCTAAATATCAACCTTTTAAATATAATTTATCTCTGCTTGATTTCAAGTAATTGGCCGAATATTGTCAGAACTCTTCTTTAAAAAAGTCTGGAATTTTAATTTACTGGACAGCCAACAAAGGAAGCAAGGGCAGTAGCAAGGAGAAGACAAAGAGAACAAACAGTCCTCTTTTCTAGATAATTTCCCTCTTAAGTTCTTGATGAATATCTTTATCACTTAAAACTCAATACTTATTATTGACTCTTGTGACAATGACATCTATTCTCATTGGAGTTCACCATTAATCATCCCTTGGTCTTAGATGGTTTCTCAGTTGTAATTGGCAAGTTCTTCCTACTCATATTAGGAAGATTCTTATTCCTATTAGATTAGGAACAGTTAAAGAGTGTTAGCTAATTCTTTTGTATTCCATTTGAGACTAGGTAGGTAGATTTGTAAGACAGCCAAGGAAATGTTTTTATTTTGAGGTATGTATGTTTCAATGTGGGTCCTTAAATTGTACTTAAATACAGGGCTTGCTATCTGAGGAACTCCTGGAAATGTAGAAGAAACATAGTTAAAACCTGAATATGATGCATATGATACTTTCCTGGTCCTACTTTTTTAAATCAGAGGAGACAAGCAAGAAATGCATGTAGTAAAGTAGGAAGGGTTTTGTGAAAAAATATGATACTTTAAGTATGACTCATCCACATGTATGAATTTGGCCTGGGGCCTTTTGAGTACATTATAACTTTGTAGTAGATTTCTGTGAATGACTTATTTTGGTGGTGTTTTGATGAGTTTATAAGAAAAAGCAAAATATGGTATATTTCTTTTGCAACATTTAGGTCAGTGAGGAAAATGATGTGTATAACTTTAGTCTTTGTTGGCATTTAAAACAAGAGCAGCTTTTGTGGACTTCTTAGGATTTCCTAAAGTAATATGTAAAAATATTATTTACTTAGTTACTGCAAGAAGGAAATATAACTAATTCATTGACTCATTTAACAACTTATTAACATTTTGAATAGGCTAATAATAATAATGTCTTCACAAAGAAAATGGGGAATCAACAGAAAGTGAATGATGCTTCAGTAAACACAGACCCAGCCACTTCTGCCTCTACTGTAGATGTAAAGCCATCACCTTCTGCAGGTAAGAATCTTTTAGACTTTTTGTGGAGGGTAGTGTACACTGGAAAGTACTTATACTGCCTTCTTCCATGTGTAAGAACTTCAGGGTGTTCATAAAAATTTTCATGTGATAAGTGAAGGAATTGAGGCAACGAGAAAATAAGGGTGTAAATGTAAAATAGAGTCATGCATGTGGTGAATATACAAAACATGAATAGATAAAATGTGAATGTAAACTAGTAGTTATCTTCTTGAGACTATTCACACATGTTAAAAATGAGCTGGTGCTTGTGAGTACTAATTTGGGCTACATAGGACAAAAGCCACGAATTGAATTTTTACTTGATGTTCCATTAAATCTATGGAATTTTGAAGCATTTTATTTGTCGATTTTAATTTTTAAATTCTGCAGGGGAAAATAATCCCCTATTATTCTCGTGTTTTTCTGTTTATTCATTTATTTTTGGCTGCTTTGGATCAATGGGGTACTTCTTCCCTTGTCAATGTACCTGTTGGCTGATGGAGTTAAGTTTTTATTAATTTATTACCTTATAGAACAGAATAGAGAGACATAGTGAAAACATGAATAATATGAAAATTTGGGTTAACTAGGTTTTCATCTGCCCTAATTTTTTCACTTTTATGTAAATTTGACAGTAATGACATTAAATACTAGAGAAAGTATATTTTCTTGTTTAGTGTGTGGGGTAGTTGATCTTTTAAGTCTTTTTAAATGTAAACATCTTAGACTATTAAATATTAGGTTTATTCCCTGTAGGACAGAATTGAGCCTTCTGTTTCCATGTATCCTTTGTAGTAACTAAAATGGTGTTATAGGGTATTTACTTAATAAAGACTTAGTGGTAATGAAGGGCTAGAAGAATGATTTAAAATGTGTTCTTGGCTGAGTGTGGTAGCATGTGGTCTCCTAGCTACTCTGGAAGCTGTGGCAAGAGGATCACTTGAGCCCATGAGTTTGAGGCTAGCCTGGGCAACATAGTGAGACCCTGGCTTTCAGAGAGGGGAAAGAGAATTCTCAGAGTATGGTTTTCCTACTTACCGTGTCTATTCAGTTATATGAGGAGAACAATTTTTGTGCTGTTTTGGAACTCCTTTTAGCAAAAAAATTTTTTTTGTTTTTGAGATGGAGTCTCACTCTGTCACCCAGGATGGAGTCCAGTGGTGTGATCTCAGCTCACTCCAACCTCTGCCTCCCGGGTTCAAGCGATTCTTGCCTCAGCTTCCTGAGTAGCTGGGACTACAGGTGCATGCCACCATGCCTGGCTAATTTTTTGTGTTTTTAGTAGAGACACAGTTTCACCGTGTTAGCCAGGATGGTCTTGATCTCCTGCCTCAGCCTCAGCCCACCTTGGCCTCCCAAAGTGCTGGGATTACAGGCATGAGCCACCACGCCCGGCCAGTTTTTAGCAAATTTTTTAAAAATCAAAGAATAATCCTTTATTATTGAACGTGAACTTGGTTCTAGCCAAACGCACATTTAAAAATTCTCAACTAGAGTTTATGTATCCTTTGTATATCTAGGATATAAATAGATATTTCTGTCCTTCAGTATTCCATTTATTATATTTCACAATATGCAGACCTTTAAGTTTTTCTGAACAGGAAGATAATATAAGGGGCAAAATACTTTTTAACAGTCTTATTTTCTGCCTTGCTACAGCAGAGACAGATTTTGACATAGTAACAAAGGGGCAAGTCTGTGAAATGACCAAAGAAATTGCTGACAAAACAGAAAAGTATAATAAATGTAAACAACTCTTGCAGGTAAGTTAACTACCTTGTAAATGAAAGAGGTTTATAAAATGTTGATGACTTAGCTTACCTTTATTGTTTTGATTGATTGGTATCTTTGAGTTTCTTTCCCATCCCCATATACTGTTACTTAGTTTCACTTTTGGGATGATATGGGCGTTTTGTGTACCTGTTCACATAGGCATGTGTGTAACATCATGAGACCTGAAGTTATTATTTTCTTTTCACCTAATAAAATGTTCTTGTTTGGGTAATGGGCAAATAGTTAATTGAGGTTAGAAATTATTATCTATCATCGTATAAAGATTCATGAGAAATATTTGAACTTCATAAAAGGAAAGTGCTGTTTTTAAATTTACTATTATAGGCCAGGTGTGGTGGCTGATGCCTATAATCCCAGCACCTTGGGAGGTTGATGTGGGTGGATTCCTTGAGGCCAGGAGTTCAAAACCAGTCTGGCCAACATGGTAAAACCCTGTCTGTACTGAAAATACAAAAATTAGCTAGGTCATGGTGGAGCATGCCTGTAGTCCCAGCTACAGTCTCCTGAGGCAGGAGAATCACTTGAATCCGGGAGGCGGAGGTTGCAGTGAGCCGAGATTGCACACTGCACTCCAGCCTAGGCAACAGAGCGAGCCTCTGTCAAAAAAAAAATAATAATAAAATAAATTACTATTATAATAGCAAAGATTTTTACATCTTAAAGTGACTAGACTTGCATAGTGGAAAAGGGAATGTTAACCAAATGAGTCGTCTCTTATGGTGTTGTTTATTTCCATTATGATTATTACTATTATTATTATTATTTTTGAGACGGAGTCTCACTCTGTTGCCCAGGCTGGAGTGCAGTGGTGCGATCTCAGCTCACTGCAAGCTCCGCCTCTCGGGTTCACACCGTTCTCCTGTCTCAGCCTCCCAAGTAGCTGGGACTACAGGCGCCCGCCACCATGCCTGGCTAATTTTTTGTATTTTTAGTAGAGACAGGATTTCACTACGTTAGCCAGGATGGTCTTGATCTCCCGACCTGATCTCGTGATCTGCTCACCTCGGCCTCCCAAAGTGCTGGGATTGCAGGCGTGAGCCACCGTGCCCAGCCTATTTTGATTATTTTAAACAGCATCATTCAGACTTTTCTGGTTTGCAGCCTTCTTGGTGTAGTATTCACTACTGGAATATTTAAAGGAAAAGGGAAAATGCTTCTCATTTATATCAATTTGGCATGGAGAGGAAAAAGTGGTGTTTGTGTATGTGATTTTTGTTTGTTTTATTAAATGTGCTTTTTTGTGTGTGTTTTTGTGTGCATTGGGGAGGGGAGGAGCCTTGTTTAGAGCTATAGAATAAAATTTACACATTAGCTTAATTTTACTGTAATTTAATTTACAGTAATTATTTAAAATATTTTCATGTTAGTTATAAATAGCGAAATCTTTTAACCAAAGTTAAAATGAACTTTTTTTTTTTTTTTTTTGCTTGAGAGAATCTTGTAGAAGGGTTGATTAGAACAGTTTTGAGTTCAGGGCAGTTGTTTGTAAGACTGAACTACATTTTCATTAAAGATGAAACAATTCTGGATGAATATTTCAAGATTTTTCTATAGAAATAGTATTGAAAGGAAGGTAGAATAATGTTCAAGCAAAAATCTTTTTTTTTTTTTGACAACCATATTGAGGTATAATTGAAATCCAATGAATTACTACACATACCTAAAGTATACAGTTGGATCAGTTTTGACATACACAATTGTGAAACTATCACCACAGTGCCATCACTCTTCCAGTTTTTTGGGTACGTGTTTGCAACACATCTCTTTCGTTATCCTTACCTCCGGGAAATCACTGGCCTGCTTTCTGTCACTATCAATTAGCCTACATTTTAGACAATTTTATAAAATGGAGTCATGTAATATGTACTTTTTTCCACCCACTTTCAGCATGATTATTTGAGATGTATTCATATTATTGCTTATATTTATTTCTTTTTATTGTATCATTTGTTTATCCATTCCCCACTTGGTGGGTATTTGGGGTTGTTTTTCGGCTGGTACAAATAAAGCTGCTTATGAACATTTGTTTACAAGTTGTTTATGGACATATGGATTTTTTTGTTTCTTTTGGGTAAATATCTAGGAGTGAATTGCCTGGGTGATATAGCAGTTGAATGTTTAACTCTATAAGAAATTACTGGCTGGGTGCAGTGGCTCATGTCTGTAATCCCAGCACTTTGGGAGGCCGAGGTGGGAGGATCACTTGAGGTCAGGAGTTTGTGACCAGCCTGGCTAACATGGTGAAACCCCTTCTTTACTAAAAATACAAAAATTAGCTGGACATGGTGGTGCACTCCTGTAATCCCAGCTATACAGGAGGCTGGGGCAGGAGAATCGCTTGAACCTGGGAGATGGAGGTTGCAGTGAGCCAAGACTGCGCCACTGCACTCCAGCCTGGGTGACAGAGTGAGACTCTGTCTCAAAAAAAAAAGAAATTACCAAACTGTTTTGTAAAGTGTTTGTATCATTTTACATAGCCAGCCTAATGGGTGTATACTGACAGCTCATTGTGGTTTTAATGTGCGTTTCTGTAATGACTTGATGTTCAGCATCTTTTCTTATGCTTATTTGCTCTTTATCTCTTTTTGTGTGAGTGGCCAGATCTTTTTGGTAGTTTAAACATTGGGTTGTTCACCTTGAGTTGTATTTTTTTTTTTTCTGGATATGTCTTTTGTCTGATAAATGTAAGGTGAATATTTTCTCCAAGTCTGTAGCTTGCCTTTTCATTTCCTTAATGATGTTTTTAGAAAAGCAGAATTTTAATTTTGATAAATATAGTTTATCAGTTCATTTATGTTTTATGCTTTTTACCTTCTAAGGAATGGTTTGCCTAATCCAAGGAGATAAAGATTTTCTCCTGTGTTGTCTTCTAGAAGTTTTATAATCAGCTTTTCTATTTAGGTCTGTGAATCATTTTAATTTTTGTGTATGGTATGAGATATGGAATGTATGGTATGGATATTCAACTGACCTAGCATTATTTGTTTAAAAGATTTTCCTCTCCATTGAATTGCTCAAAGTATATTTTTAGGTGTTCACATTGAACAAAATGTTCCAAGTGGAACTGGCCTAATTACCTTTTTGTCATGATTTGTAGCTCCTCCTTTATGATAATCTGGGTTTTAGAGAAGATCAATGTATAAGAAGTCAACCTAAAAATTATCTTGGTCAGCAAATCCTGGAGTTTATCAATGTATGGAAACAACAGCATTATAAATATGATATTATTTCCTCCCTTTGCAAAAGTAATATATACTTATTGTGAAATGTTGTAGTGTTCCAGAAATGAAGAGTAGAGATGGCAAAAATTACCTCTATCATTCTGATCCCCTGAGATAAGAACTATTAATATTTTGGTTTATATTTTTGTATACAACACAAACATAGATATTATAACTGTGTAAAACAACTTATAAACAAAAATAGATTATATTATATCTTCTTTTTTAGCAACTTGCTATTTTCAATTAATGTATCTTAACATTTTTTCTTGTCAACTTGTATATCTGCCTTATTTAAAAATATATATACTATTTCGTTGTGTGGATAGAAAATGATTTATCCAATTGTCTATTAATAGACATTTGATTAGTTCAGTTTTTATGCTGTTACAACAGTGTTGTAATAAACATTCAGCCCATATCTAAGTATGTTGCTATAGATTTTCACTCTACATGGATTTAAAATCTTTTGGTAATTATACTAATTTCATTTAGGATGAGAAAGCAAAATGCAATAAATATGCTGATGAACTTGCAAAAATGGAGCTGAAATGGAAAGAACAAGTGAAAATTGCTGAAAATGTAAAATTTGAACTAGCTGAAGTACAGGACAATTATAAAGTAAGTTTGGTACTCATTGTATGTAAACTTAAGGCATAAACTTTTGAAAATTTGTTATGTATAATTTTATTCAATCTAATGTACATTTTAAATATGGATAATTGATAGTTTTTTCTACAAGTAAAAATGTACTATATATTTAGTTACATGAATACTGTTCATTAACTTTGAATTGAGAAAATGGATACCATTTGGGTTGCTATTGTGGCTTTAATTCTGTGGATTCAGATGGCTATTAAAATTACATCTTTGCCGGGCGCGGTGGCTCAAGCCTGTAATCCCAGCACTTTGGGAGGCTGAGATGGGTGGATCACGAGGTCAGGAGATCGAGACCATTCTGGCTAACATGGTGAAACCCCGTCTCTACTAAAAAATACAAAAAAAAAACTAGCCGGGCGAGGTGGCGGGCGCCTGTAGTTCCCAGCTACTTGGGAGGCTGAGGCAGGAGAATGGCATGAACCCGGGAGACGGAGCTTGCAGTGAGCTGAGATCTGGCCACTGCACTCCAGCCTGGGCGACAGAGCGAGACTCTGTCTCAAAAAAAAAAAAAAAAATAAAAAAATAAAATAAAATAAAATTACATCTTTTAATTGTGTTTATTTTTAAAGGTGAAAAGTGATCATTATCCTCCTGTCCTCTTGTTCATTTTGAAACAAACATGAATGCTTATGTAAAATTATTAGGATTGCTTGAGTCCAGGAGTTTGAGATCAGCCTGGGCAACATAGGGAGATGCCCACTCCCCCACCAGTCTCTAAAAAATAAAAATAAATAAATAAAAAGAATTATTTTAGGGCTTTGACTTTTTTTGTAGTACAATAATATGTCATCAGTAATTTTAAAAATTTGGCTAGAGTTTTACCATTTGTCACCAAAGTATGTGACTGTGATCCTAAATGAAATACTGTAAAAGCAAGTGATGTAATCTTAACTAATGAAAATTATTTTTGCCAATATAATGTTAGGCAACAGACAAGCCCAAATAATAAATGGTAACTGTAAGAATGTTAGAGAAGGTCAGGTGCCGTGGCTCACGCCAGTAATCCCAGCACTTTGGGAGGCTGAGGTGGGCGAATCACGAGGTCAGGAGTTTGAGACCAGCCTGGCCAATGTAGTGAAACCCTGTCTCTACTAAAAATACAAAAAATTAGCCAGCCGTGGTGGTGGGCACCTGTAATCCCAGCTACTCGGGAAGCTGAGGCAGGAGAATCACTTGAACCCTAGAGGCAGAGGTTGCAGTGAGCCAAGATCATGCCATTACACTTCAGCCCGGGTGGCAGTGCAAGACTCCTCAAAATAAATAAATAAATAAATAAATAAATAAATAAATAAATAAAATGTTAGACTAAAAAAAAAAATAGGCTGTCTAGCTACTTAATAAGTAGAAATATATATTTCTTCTAAGGAATAAAGTATAATTTAATATATTTTAAGAAATGTATATGGATATAATTTACATTTTTTTTTTTTACTGAAGACAGGAATTCTAAATGGTTCAAATATCATAGCTGATTCTACCTGTGATCTAAAAAATTAGAATTACTTTAGTTTTCCCCTGTAGGGGCTGGAGATGTAGGACATTACAGACCAAGATACATTAGCTTATTATTTCTGTGACCCTTGTGGATATTCTTTTCAGTAACTGGCAACTTCCTTAACTATTAAGTGTGAATCATGAATTCATATGAAAAGAATTTTTTGCATATTGACTAGGAAAATGATTTAGTAAATGTTTACTGAAGCCTATTTTACATAAAGTACTATGTTAGATATTATGTGGGCAATCACATAAGGCACAGTGGTATGCTTAAGGAGTTTATAATCTAGTAGATTGCTAGAAGTGTAATGGTAGTGTGCACAAAATTTTCACACCACCGTAGGTAATCATCTGTAAACCATGGGAAGCTGAACAGATAATTTTATTTCATTAATGTTAAAAGTAAGCATTGAGATCAAACAGCGTATCTAAAATTATGTAGCTGGTAAATGTGTTTGGCTTTTTATTTAGTTCCTTTTGCCCTATTTTGTACTATTTTGACATGGACTAACACTGACCAGACAAGGCAAAATGTGATAAAGCTCCACATGAATAATAAGTTTAATTGCCTTAGAGTTGTTTCCAATCAAATATTTAGGGGGAAGACATTATGGAATAATTACACCTTTGAAAGAACAAACTGGAGGGGAGGAGAAGCAGAGCTAGGGAAAGGAAGCAGCAGCATTCTATGTAGATGGAAGAGCATTAAGACATATTTGGAGTTGAGAAATGGAGCACGTAGTCTGCGAACTGTGAGCAGTCTTGATCATTAGGACTTGTGTCTGTAATAGAGTAGCTTAGGCTTGAATGATAGCTTGAAGCCAGGTTTTAGGCCTAAAATGGAATTTCGGTGCTAGTTCTATTAAGAATTTTCTAGGAGAAAAGAGACCCAATCACAGTCTTTTTGAAAATAATTTGGCAGTATTGAAGAGGATTTAGAGGTGGGAAGGGTTTGAAGGTGAGGAAATCAGGTAGAAATATTCTTAAAATGAATTGATAAAGACCACCTCCTTTTGGGTACCTTCCCTGATCACCTGCCATTGAATGGATTATATATTTACTAGAGAAAGCTGTGAAAGACATGTTTAGGGAAGAACCATTGAAGAATGATTTTATTTGTATTTGTATCCATTAATGCTTAAACTGTAATAGGTGATCAGTGGGTGACTGCTGAATGAATGAATGATTTAGAGACTGAAAGTGTTGGAGAATGGAGAAACAGGAAAAGGGAAAAGTATTACAATATAGTTTCTCAGCTTTAGTCACAGTGTAGTCTGAAATTGAGTTCTGTTAACAGAAGTATGAAAGTAGGCTTGGGACATTAACTATCAATTTAAAAGGCAGATTTGGAACTTGGGAAAGAGAAAGTGGTACATTAGTTAATACTTGTGATTTATTCCCAGGGGGGTGATATTTGAAGGTATGGAAGAAAGTGAGTTTTCAGAGAGAATATTGAGAGAAGAGGCCAAAGAAGAAACTTTGGAGAATACTCATATTTGTATTGGGAAGAAAAAAACACACAAAAAAGGGCATGGGATGATGAAAATATTCATGCAATTTCACATAAGCCAAAGGAATAGTTTTAAGAACAAGGCAAGTTGGTCAATAAATGACAAATAATTCAGAGAAGTCAAAGAATTAGCTGAGGAAAATACATGGATTTAGTAATAGGAATTATTTTCATAAAGCAGTATAAACCAGGTATCAAAGTTGCAAGGAGGGAGAGGTAATGAAAAAAAATAATGAAATTTCTTTCTTTATTCAGCTTCAATTGGCAGAGAAAGACAAAGAAATAAGTGGTCTGACTTCACATTTGGAAAACCTCTCCAGGGAGAAGGTATTGAGCAATGTAGTTAAAAAAATTTGTACCATATGAAACTGAATAATAATAGAACTTTATGAAGAGACACATTTTAAAGTTCATGTGACAGTACAATGTTCAAATTTAGGAAAACGTGAAATTTCTAAAAATTACATGAAATGTTTATCTGGTTTTCTTTTATAATAGGAAACATTTTTGAAGTTGTTTAATGACTTACATCAAAAGCTCACAGTCAGATAGAGCAATATATGGGTAATGTAAAAGACACTATAGTGCAGCATTTCTGAGTGTGGTCTGTGGTCCTTTTGGTGGTCCCCAGTCCCCTTTCAGGGGCCTGCAAAGACATGGTTTTCATAATAATACTACCACATTATTTGATTTTCTCCCTGCTGTTATATTCTCACTGTGTGAAAGCAGTGTGGAAAACTGCTTGTGTATTATTATGAATTAAGGCAGTGGCACCAAACTGCTTTAGTAAAAAGCCAGTTGTACTGAAGATGTTAAAACAGTAAAATATGTTAATTTTATTGATGCTTGACTCTTGGGTACATGTCTTTTTAGTATTCTGTGTGATTAAATGGAAAGTACTCCTAAAGTTCTTTTGTCGCCTAATGAAGTATGATATTTAATAAAGGTAAAGTGCTTGTGTGGTTGAGTTGTGAGTTGAACTAATCTCTTTTTTCATGGAAACTATTTTTACTTTAAAGAACAATTTCTATATTCAGACTTGGGTATTTGGCAGATATTTTCTCAAAGTGAAATGAAATGAGCCTGTTATTTTAAGGAAAAACAATTGATAATATTTTTCACCATTGATAATATTTAAGCTTTTAAGCAAAAACTAGAATTTTGAAAAAATTGTTATCTTCCACTGTGAGCTTGATGCTTTCCAATGTTTATAAACTTTTCTAATGAGATGGGTGTAATATTTAGACTGTATTTTTTTTTGTTGTATAGCAAAATTTGCCAGCATTTGGAAGATCCACATAATTCAGTGAACCAGTAGTTTTCCAAATGACCAGCTATGTTGCAAAATCATGTATCATAAAAGAACCATTCTAAGTGCAAGTTAGACCTCAACGTTGTGTGGGGTTATTGTAATAGTTGTGAAATTCTGATTTTTCAACTATTACTACATTTTCCACATTTTTTCTTTGGCATTCTACTGTAAGAAAGAACCTTCGTTTGTCCTTGTTTATATATGTCTGTGTGGTATTGTTCCAGTAACAATTTTCTGACGCCAAAACTGGTATTCTACAATTCAGTTCAATTCTGATACTAACTACCATGAGTTAGCGTAGACCCCACAGCTTAAGGGCTCAGTCCCACAGGACTGCTCCCACTTTAGAGGCCAATTACAAGTGAAGTCCTCAGGCTACTGATAGCAATCATTTTCTTACACTTATTCACACATAAGTACTTAATAGCAAAAATTATTATGTACCATTAATAACAGTGAAAAAATAATGTGGCACACGTGGAATTTTCTACTTGTGGCATCATGTCAATGCTCAAAAAGTTTCAGTTTGGAACATTTCAGATTTTGGATTTTTTTATCAGGGAATGCTCATCCTGTGTATGCTTTTTCTCAACACTACTATATTCTGAAAATCATTCCATATATGAAGTTCATATAAATCCTCCATCTTTTTTTTAAACAGGTGTGTAGTACTCCATTGTACATACCATAATTTATTCAACCAACCTCGTATATTTGGCCATTTAGGTAGTTTCTAATATTTTACAAATAATACTACAATGAAAGATTCTATGTAGATACAGTTTTCTGGTGTTGGGATAGTACCTTCAAGGTAAATTGCTGGAAGTGTGATTGCTGGTTTGAAGGGTAAATGCATGTGTAGTTTTGTTAGAGATTGCCAGATCCCCTTTCATAGAGTTTGTATTATTTTTTGTTTCCACCAGCAATGTATGAGAAGTGGACCTGTTTCCCATATAAATTGTAATCAGGTTTTCTAATTTTTGCATATGGGATAGATTAGGAATAGTATCTTAGTGTAGTTTTAGTTTGCATCTCTATTATGAGTGAGGTTAAACATCTTATCTTTTTTGTGAGGTTTTTGGCTCATTATTCTCTGATTTTTGGTTTGTTTTACTTACCTTGTTATATATATATTTTTTTCCCCTGTAAAGAGATATTAGCCCTTTATCTGTGATATATATGTAGTAAGGATTTTCTCTCAGTTTATTTGACTTTTGACAGTGCTCACTATGCTTACTTTTACCATGTAAATGTTCTTTATTTTTGTGTAAAGTGTGGTACTGCCTTGACCAGCAGTGTCAGCACCATCTGGAAACTTGTTAGAAATCCATATTCTTTGCTGGGTGCTGTGGCTTACGCCTGTAATCTCAGCACTTTGGGAGGCTGAGGCTTGTGGATCACCCGAGGTTGGGAACTCGAGACCAGCCTGGCCAACATGGTGAAACCCCGTCTCTATTAAAAATGCAAAAATTAGCCAGGCATGGTGGCTCACGCCTGTAATCCCAGCTACTTGGGAGGCTGAGGCAAGAGAATTGCTTGAATCTGGAGGCAGAGGCTGCAGTGAGCTGAGATCGTGCCACTGCACTCCAGCCTGGGCAACAGAGTGAGACTCTGTATCAACAACAACAACAAAATGCATATTCTTGGGTTCTGTTCCGGCCCTGCTGAATCAGCAGCTCTGGAGATGATGCCCCAAAATATGTGTTTGACAAAAACCCTCCAAGTGTTTCTGATTTATGCTCAACTTTGAAAACCACTGATGTGTTGCATTTGAATTTTTATTTTCCACGGAAAGCATTCCCTACACCCAGGTTATAGAGGAGTTCACTTGTGTTTTGTTCTAATACTGATATAGTTTCAGTTTTTTTTTTTTTTTTTTTTTTGAGATGAAGTCTTGCTCTGTTGCCCAGGCAACAGTGCAGTGGTGTGAGCTTGGCTCACTACAACCTCTGCCTCTCGGGGTTCAAGCGATTCTCCTGTCTCAGCCTCCTGAGTAGCTGGGATTACAGGCTCCCGCCACCACACCTGTCTGATTTTTGTATTTTTAATAGAAACGGGGTTTTGCCATGTTGGCCAGGCTGTTCTCAAACTCCTGATCTCAGGTGATCCACCTGCCTCAGCCTCCCCAAGTACTGAGATTACAGGTGTGAGCCACCATGCCCAGCCAGTTTCAGTGTTTTGTTTTTTTTTTTTTTTTTACATTAAAATTTCTTATCCATTTAGAATTTATTCTTAGATATCACAGAAGGAATGAATCTAAGTTTATCTCCTTCTAAATTGCTGTCTAGTTATCTCAATCCATTTATCAAAATGCCGGTTTCGTGTCAGTGATTTGAGATACTAAATTTACTATATAATAGATTTCCATGTGCAGTTGGGTCTCTTTCTGTACTTTGAGTACTGTTCCATTGATCTGTCTGCTCATATGGTAGTACCATGATGTTTTAACTGTAAGAACTTTGTAGTCTATTTTAATATTTGGTTGGGTTAGTCCTTTCTCATAACTCTTTGTTTTCAGTGTTTTCTGGCTTTTTTCTCTTGAAGGGTTAGTTTTCCGTATCAATTTTAATACCAACTTTTCTAGCTCTAGAAATGATTGTTGGTATTTTTATTGATATTGCATTAAGTATATACATTAACTTAGGGATAACATCTTGGTGATATTTCTACTTTTTAATAAAGAATAGGCAATATGGGATGTGTCGTTCAAATCTGTTTTGTGTCTTTCAGGAATTTTAAATAATTTTCTTCCTATGGGTTTGGAAGAATTCTTCTTAAAGTTTATTCCTAAGTATTTTTGTTTTTCCTTTTGAAAATGGGATTTTCTCTTTCATTGTATGTTGTAACAGGTTATTGTTTTTGAATGTGGGGCTCTTGAACTTTTTGTAGCTTTTAATTTTTATGTAATTTCAAACTCAAGTTGAAAAAATAGTATAGTGAACTCTCATATATATTCTTTCCCCACCATTTGACAGTAACTGGAGGTGAAGACATAAGAGTCCCTGCATATTGTATCCTCAGTACAAGGATGTTCTTTCAGCCATGTTACAGTTAACAGATTTAGGAAGTTTAACACTGACACAGTATTATCATCTAACCTACAATACATATTAAAATCGTATCCTTAATACTTTGTTTATTGTTTATAGTCTTTTCTTCCCTGATCTAGGATCTAATCCATGATCATACATTGCATTTAGTTATCGTGTGTTTAGTTTTCCTTTATCTGGAACAACTTTATAGCCTTTCTTAACCTTGACATTTTTGAAAAATATGGGCCAGTTATTTAATATAATATTGATTTTGGTTTAATATTTCATCATGATGAAACTTAGGTTATGAATTTTGCCAGGAATGCTACAGAATTTAAATATCCTTCTCAATACTGGTAATCTTTCATTATTTGGTTAAGGTATTGTCCACCAGGTTTTACTGATGTAACATTAATATTTTCCCTTTGTAATTAATAAGTAATTTGTAGGGAGATACTTTGAGACCATGTAAATATCTTATTCTTTATCAAACTTTCACCTGGTATTTTAATATCTATTAATGATCTTCTAACTCCATCATTCCTTCTATATTGATTAGAATTTTTCTGTAAGAAAGAGCTATCTTTTCTTTCCCCCTAATTTGTTTGTTTATTCATTGATTTTTATCATTGTAAACTCATGGATTCCTGTTTTATTCAGTGGGTTACAGTCTATTTTTATAATCATTTTGATATTCAGCTTGTATCAGATTTAACTAATAAGAGCCCCTGCAAACTAGCTCTTGTGGCTTTTTATTATGTCTTTCATTATTCTTTGAGCACTTATTACTTTCTGGTGCAGAAAGATGTTCTAGGCTCATCTTGTTATTTTCCTGCCCCAGCCTGGAATCAGTCTTTTGTCCAAGGAGCCCTGTTCCATTTACTGGTGAATGTAGTTTAGAAACCAAGATCTGGGCTGTAGGTGTGCCCTCATTGATTCATAGTCCTTAGCAGACAGCTAGAAAATACGTTTCTCCCCCTCTC